TCAAAATACATTGAACAGAGGCTTAAGAATTTAGGATGCCTTCAGATTCAGATTCTTCATGGCTTTGAAAGCTTGACTTGCTCTAAAGAGTACAAAATCAACTCCTGAAAGAGAGCTCTTGTATTTACTTCATAAAATGTGCAACATCTGCCTAAGTTGAATTCACTGGAGTGAACTGAGATATGCAGGGACATATCCTCTTGGGACCAGGTTGGGCCATTCAGCATCTTTCTTTGGCGATGCACACCCTCTGTGCCTGTACGTTCTCTATGACATTCAGAAGAAGAACACAGTAAGTAGAGAGGTATGGCTTGTGCACCTAAGGGTCTGTCTTTGGGATTACATGAGCACAACCAGCTCTACCTATGGCACACTCGGGAAGCTGTCTGGTTCTGAGAATGAGATGGCAAAGGTTTGCAGGTGCAGGTAACTGTGGGGAGCGGGGTGTAGGAGCTGGGGTAGGGATGCAAACTCAGCATTTTCCCTGATAAAACTGTGCTCCAGCTCTTGAGACTCTACGTATCAGAATGAAAAGGATGAAGTAAGTTTTGCTTTGTACATTATTCAGTGCAGTGGGAATGGTCCTCCAACATTTCAGGTGTGAAAGAGGGGGACAGCAAGTAAGGAAATTTATTCTGATTTCATCTTACCATGGACTAAGCTTTTCCTTCCCCTTTTTGCCTCCTCAGATTTTTCTTACCCAGTCTATTCCCCTGGATGCCACTCATAGTAAGCCTCAAGGTGATGATCCTAAAATAATCCAGGGTTCCCTCCCAGCCAGACAGCCAGGAATGTGAACCTGAATACTAAGGTGGTTTAGGAGCCCTTTAATATGGGTAAGAAAAACCAAAACTAAACTGATCTTCCTTCCCTCCTTGAAACCAGTCTTCAAATGACCTTCACTATTCCCTTCCACTGATTATAATATATCAGATGCCATCTGAAAGCTCAAATTCAGCAGCTCTTTTGTTCCAGGACCCTGCAAGATTTCTGGAGCTGCTCAGACTTTCTCAAAGCCTTTTACTTGACTAAGACTGAGACCCTTCAAAGCCACCATCAGAAAGCCCAGGCTGGTAAACTGCTGCACTCTAACCACACCTTTCCTGGTTGGTTACCAACTCATGGCACACCATGAATCATTCATTACCTGGCAGCAATAAATCCTAGATGACAGAGTGCCTCATATATTGAGAAGCTGAAAAAAGACTCGCCATATAAACTCCAAGGGAACTTGAAACTGCATGAAGAGGAATAAAATGGCATTTGGGATAGAATTTCAGGTGAGCTTGAGTAGACTATTCGTAGTGGCCAGACATACTTTAAAAAATTACTCTGAGTAGTATTTCAAATGTGGTGATACCCCATGTGTCTATAATTCACTCTCAGCGGCAACATGGTGTTACCCTCATTCCGGTGACTGACTGTCAAAATCAAGTCTATAATATCTTACTCTTCACCGAAACCTTTCAGGAATAAAAAGCTAAGACAGATGTTGAACATAGCAAATTCTATCTTCCTTCTCTATTTCTCTCTCGCTATTTACTTTTAATTTTTTGATGTTCCACTTTGGATGCTTGTTATCCAAAGCTTTAGATGCTTTTCCTTTCCTTGCTATCTTTGGTGGCTTTAACTTCCCTCCATTTCTTATTTATTTTATATTAATTTTAAATGTCATATTCAAGTTCCATTATATCATATGACTCTTGGGGACCAATGTGCCTAATCCCCTATAAATGCTTTCATTCCTTATCGTGTTGCTGGTAGCCAGTTTCCTAACTCTGAAGCCTGGGAGTCACACCGAATGCCTCCATAACTCTCACCCCCTTGTCTAACTGTTCATCAGGTTCTTTATACTCTTTATACTCTCCCTTCTGTTTTATTCTCCTTTTTTCCAGGTCATTACCCTCCTATTTCTGTCTTAGTTCAGGTCTTAATCGTCTTTACCCTGGGCTCAGAGAATACCTTTCTCGCTCTCCTGCCATGCAAGGCTGGTTTCAGATGTCCCTTAACACTTCTGCCATTCTAAGCAAGTCCCTAACTAATTTCCTTTACCTGTTCTTTAAGACTCATAGTCTCAACTTCCACTGCATATAAGACCCTCCAAGGTATATCATAACTTTTTCTTCACAAGGTTGTGAAGCCAAACTAACCTAGCTCCACATGCACATGATGGCACACACTCATCCCCTGTTAGGAAGGCCGAGCAGAGCAACCTCTTTTTGGCAAACTTCTAGTGCCCCCTTCAAGCTGGCCTCTTCCATGATGCTTCTGATGATTATCCTGGCCTCTGTATATACATGCTAGCTTCATTCAACCCAGTAGAGTACTGTCCTTTTAGAGAAAATTACTTGCTTGCTTATAACTGTCCCTATTAAAGTGCACTCCTTTTGAGGATAGGAATCTCATCTTATTCCCTTCATAGTTTTAGTGCCTGGCACAGAGTCAAGTTTATCTGCCAAGTAAATGATTTAGTGAATGGGTGAATGGAGCTCATTATTTAAAATCCATCACTATGAGGGATGGATAATTGAATATGTAGGTGATAAAGCATGATACATATATTGTTGTGGCATGTCAAAAAAGCTAGTTCTTTCAGCAGTAATTAAACCTTAGTCTGTTGAGTCAGGCTGACATACATGTCAGTCTACTTCAAAACCATAAACTATTTTCTTGTTAAGGTGCTCTGCTTTACATTTGTAAATTAAGAATAGCAGGCCTTTGGGCTTTGCCAAATTTGAATTCAAAGCCTGACATTGCTAATTCCTTCCCTTTCAATTTGGTCACTATCCTTCTCTGTGTCTCAGTTTTCTTATCATTAATAACAACTCTCAGAAGGTTGCCATGACTATATAACACACACACATACTTATGCATATAAAATAAGTAAAATTAACCAATGAAAGAGCCTAACAAATAGCTGACATAAAGTAGTTTTTTTTTAATTACAAAAGTTTATTTTTATATTATTTTGTACATTTTTTTTCCATCTCAATTGTAATCCCTGCGGGTTTCCCATAAAGTAGTTTTAACATGAAAATCATACTCTCTTCTACTTCCTAACTCTGAGAGAGAAACAGACTCCCAACCTATGTGATACACTGATTGCTAAAAATTTACAATAAATAAGAACTATTTGCTGAAGTCTAATCAGAAAGACATATTTCCATTTATATCATCAAGAGAGGGTTTTACAAAGAAAAGTAACTTCTATTTGTCATGGACTTTGAGTCTTTCTCAAGAGAAGGTAAGCTAGATAGAGCCCTGGCAAGTTAAAAAGAGGTATCATTAGAGTCAGAGATTTTGCAAATTAAAGCTATGATTTTGAATCAATGTAGGAAGAGGCAATGTTCTTCCTGGAAGTGTGAATTACACATTAAGTATATTGTGTTGAGATCAGACATAAAAAGCAGACAGAATATTTGCAAAGAAGCAAGGTCTCTACATTATGTCTTATAAGATGAATGATCTACCTGAAGTAAAATTTCCATGGAAACATTTTAAAACAGTGAATGTTATTTTTAAAAATTTAAATGATTGCTATTTATTTTGTTACTACTTTATAAGGAAAAGTTTTTACCTATTGATTTGCTAGCTTTACAAATCCTTAAATGTCTTAAATCTTGATTTGATTTTTGATATTCACAAAGCTCTCACAAGTTTATTATCCTATGATTCTTTTTATCTTTTCCACTCAGGAATTGATTATTCTCATATCTCAACTGTTTTTTTTAAAGACTTATTTACTTATGCATACAGAACTGGGGTACAGGCCAGAGGCGCAGGGTTGGTGAGAGGCTTCACCGGAGACAGAGTGGGGGGCAGAACAGGCAGATCGAAGAAGTACACTGCTGAGGGGAGCAGCTGGCGGGCCAGGAGAGGTCTGCCAGCCATGTGATCTCCTCCGGGGCAGGCGGGGATCAAACTCATGCAGAAGTGGCTTTAGCTTCTTAGTGCTGTGCTTTAACCTGCTGCGCCACCAGGGAGGGTCCTCAACTATTTTTTTTGACAATTTAACAATACTATTAAATTGTGTTTTCTACAAGCATTCACTGAATTAATTTGTTTTGGCTTATCTATTCATAGAGGTAGCATTGGTGTACATCTTTGTATAGATTTCGAGGACTCAGTTCACTTCTCCCAGACGTGCCTCAAGCATGCTGGCATGCGCGTACACACACACACAGTGAGTAGAATTGCTAAAACATGCTTCAAGCTAGATAAATGTGATTAAAATTAATCAAACTCTTTTAATAGATTGTAAATGTATAATCTGCACTAAAAATGACAAATTATATTCACCAGAGTTCTTTATTTTTGTTTTGTTTTTTTTAAGCAGTGCTCTGTGTCTCTACTTCTTACAGAAGTTAAGCTTCTGGCTCCTTCCCACAGTTAAGCTGCCCTACCTACAGTTTCTGTTTCAGTGGACAGTACATAGTAGCATTCAGGAAATATTAAATGAATGCCTCGCTGAAGAAACTAAGTACATCTACTTAAAGAAGGTTTTTTTAAAATCAGGACTTCGGCTGGCATCTGCTGTTAATAAAAGGATTTCCCAAGTCACAGAAGAAAAGAAATTTTAGAGCCTGAAGACTTTTGTCCTCCTTACTATATATACTTATCATTTTATACAATGAGAAATTAGCATGAGAAACAGTTTCTCAATATGTTTTCATTATATGTATAGCAAACATGCATGTTTATCTTTAAGATGGTAAAGGCCCATTATAACATTCAAAATGAAATAGAAGTTTAATCTCTTATTGTAAAGATCGATAAACTAGCTCCAAGGAAGGTTAGGTGACTTAATAAGGTCACATAGTTAGTGGAAGAGTCGGGGAAAAAATTTAGGTCTCCTGATACATACCCAGTGTATATGCAGTTTGCACAAATGCTCTATACAAACTACACTACCACCGTGACTTTATAGGGCTCTTCAAACAGTGGAAACCAGGATAGGTGAATCAGTAAAAGCCACAGCCCCCTTTCCATCAGAAACTCACCTTCAGTATTGGAAATGGGGGTACTGTCACATTTGCTTTCACACTGCTGCATTGATGGAGGGCGAACAGTTTCTGGACAGTCACTAGATACCTGTCCAGTGTAGGAGAGACATTGCACCGTCCGCATTTGCTGTCCAAGGCCACACTGAGCAGAGCACTAAACCCAACAACACAAAGAGAAACAAAATACTTATCTTAACCATTTCCAGAAGATAAAAAATATACTATCATTTCAAACACCATATATTTGAGCTTTTAAAGTCTATACATAGTTTATCTTGGAACAGTGTATGATTAGGGTCATTCTCCTATAGAATTGGTTTGGAAACTGAAGGAATCTAGAAAATGGAAACTACACAGTTCCCAGAGGACAACACATGGGAGATTTCTTCGGCCATTATCCCAATAATTCTAAGCAGGGCTGGTGAACCCTAACAGCAGTATAATGAGAAAACTCAAACGATGAAGTGGAGTCATCAGCGATTAAATATGACGGCACAGGAACATCAGTACTTCTCTCTATTACAGGCTTGTTGGACAAACAACCCAAGAGTCTAATTGGAGTGTTCTGTCTCTAATCAGAATATTAGTTCCATGACTACTGTGGGATCTGATGATGGTTTGTTTTGTTGTTGTTTAAGTTTTCTAGGTATTGTCAGCCTCACAAGCCTCTCCCTTTTCTTCCACTGGAAATTCAGTTACTTCAGGGCAGTTTGTGTAGCTTAGCTTCAGCTGGGTCTGCTCAGCTGTTGAGGCTGGGTCTGTTTTTTGGGTCTACCACCCAGAATACTAGAAAGTCTGTGAGATTTAGGATCAAAGTGAAGAGGAGCTAGGGGTGCCAAGAAAGGCAGTGGTGGTGTTTGCAAGGTAAACAAACAGGCCCTGCAGGATTTGTTTGCAAAGACTTAGCAAAGCACTTACAGGACTTGTAGGGATATTCATAGATACTTTTATTTTTAAGATTCTAAATACAGAATGACAAACAAAAGCACCATCAAAGTGTACTAAGGTAAAAATGTATTTTAACCCATGAGTTTTCATTTTAGGAAACTGACTTGAAAATGTATGTGGGAAGAAAAAGGAAGATCTTGATAACATTTACAAGAAGAATCTCAAATTGATGATTTAATTTGGTGAAAAAAACTGATATGCAGAAACTTTCAACTGAACTGTAGGTAACAGTGCATTGCAACAAAGAAAATACAGGGAAGGAAATGTCTACCTAAAAAAATTAAGAGAAAAATTATGAGAATGCATCTGTACTGATAATAGCAGAATGTCAATTATGTATTGTGAAGCTGTCACCCTTGTAAAGCAAATAACTGCATATAATGCTTACCCTTTCATTTATATTCCACTTGAGCACTTTGTAAATTAAACTCAATGCAGTTATACAAATGCAAATTATTAATTCTTATACAAATGTAAGTATTATTTCATGATCACACTTCTTTTCAGCACTGAACACAGAACAAGTATATTTATTGTCACAGGGAGATGGAAAATCTTTCCCTGAAATGTAACAAAGGGGTTCATAGAAATTGCTGTATTCCAGCAATACTGAATTTTGGCGAGATTTTCTGGTAACTTCTATGAAATGCCATCTTTGATAAGTAATGGCAGGTCCATTACTAGTGTAGCTAAATGCCATGATGATTTATATGAGTCTCAGATATTAAAAAATGACTAAGCTACAAGGTTAAATATAAAACCGTAGGGCGGAAAAAACCTTTGTACAGAAATTTACTTTCTGGAGCATTATTTTTTAATGCAACCAAAGTTTCCTTTTTAACATTCAAAGGAACAATACTTCATTTTTCTTCTAGCCAAGTTGTTTTTGAAGGATTTAAATGGGCCCTCAGTAAGACAACACAATTTAGGAGTCAGGAAAGAAGAAAAATAGGAATGGGAACATAAGTTGGAAATGAGTGTAAAATAAAAATACATACCAAAGGCCCTAGACACTGGCCTCCCAATTCATAGGACCCTTCAGATAAATGCACTGATGATAGATATTAATAGTGTTTCAAAAACCTGCAATCACATCAGCATACTAAATAAACCCCCACATCTTCTCTGTGAGGATTAGGAGTTTGCAAGTGAGAGAATTCAGACACTGGTATTAACTGGTTTGTTCTCAAATTAGTGGAGAGAGTTGGGACTAATATCCAAAGCTTTAGTAGCTTGTTCAACTCTTTAATCACCTCAACTATTTCTATTTTAAGTTAAATGTTAAGATCCAGCAATTGGCAGAAGTGCACAGGTGAGGGGACATGACTGTGTGCATCTGCGTGGCTGTTCCTGTTTGTACACCGTTTCCCACTCAGATTCATACCTAGATTTCTAAGTGTTGTATCTCCTCTGCAGCCCTTACAATGACCCAATCGGGAACCTCAAGTGTGTCAAGTGCTGCTTCAGCAGGAGCCCACAGTCCAACTGCTTTACCTGGCCCCAGTCTCCTGTCACCCAGCGAGGAGGAGGGCAGCGGCCCAAGCTGCAGCGGAGGCGGACAGGGGGCTTGCTTTCCTCTGGACATTGTGCAGCTGGGAATGTTTTAGAGAGGTCACTGCTCTTGCACAGAACAATTCGATGCTTGAATCCTGGGCCACATTTGGGAGTGCACTGGAAATAAAACAAATGCTAATAAATAACATTCAGAGTTACAAGAAAATTTGAGGAAAGTCTTTCTTGAAGTAAATGTGTGTTTGGGTATACAATATACATATGCACTAAATTCTAGGCAACGTCTTTCAGATGTGAACATTCCTTACTTTTAAGGCAGAAATACTTTTATCTTTTCCCTAAGGTCTTTACGAGCTAAATCTAATGTTTGCTTTTCTTGGCTAACTTGATTTCTTCTTTTATTGCGGGTAAGTTTATTCTTCTATCACCCTATCCTTGACCACATTCAGCTGTGATAAGATTCTGCTAATTTTTGGAATGTAGAATCCTTGGTTTCCTACTTACTGGGCGTGATCTTCTAAAAAACAATTCTTATGTTATCAGTAGACTATGAGAACATGTCTTTGTGTTGATTTAGACGTGTTTTCTTACAGTGTGGCAGCTAAGGACACAGATCATAAGTGAAGGTTCATTGCACAGAAAATCCCTGGACTTTCCCCTATCAGTGAATCAGAAAGAACTGGACTGTTCCTTGGTTGAACTAGTCAGTTCCTCAGATTGAGAAAAAGATGCTTCTTACATCTTCTCTAGGTTAACTGGACTGCTCTGTTGCTAGTCACCCATTTAAAATGGTAACCAACTAAAAGTCCTCCAGTTTTCTCCCTTGTATGTGTGAACACCTCCTTAAAAATCTGTATTTCTCTTACTCAAGTGAGGTCCTAACCCACAACATTTGGAACCTCATTTCTACACTTCCTTAAAAAAAAAAAAAAAAGTTTCCCAACATTCTACAGGAAGTACACTAGACTGGGGGTGGTGAAGTATGAAGATAAATGAAACAATCTCTATGCTCATGAACTCATAGTTTTATGTAGGAAATAGACATGTGAATACAAGGTCATACCATAAAAGATGATGTGGGATGAATAAATCTGTGTATCCCTAATCACCATCTGTCTATAATTATGCACTTATATGTATTGTCATTCTGAGCAGACTACAAGCTACTTAAATTTATTTCATTTCTGTTTCATCTTTGTAGCCACACCTCCCTGACTTACCTAGGGCCCAAAGAGGCCCTTCAATATGCACTCAGTAATTATATATTATCCTTTATCTGGCAAGATGATGGCTTTGATTTACCACTAGGTAAACGAAGAGTCACTAGTTGTGGGAAGGAAGTGTTTTAATGAACACACCATACCACTGAGTGGGTTGTCAGTGGCAATCATGTCAGTCTGATGCATGTCATAGAAAGAAGGAAAAATATTTAGCATTTTCAGGTGAAAATCAAGGATCCCATGAGTACTTCTTATTTCAATGAGTGCAATAATAGACATTCCTTCCCATTTAGAAAAAGTTTAATTAAGATTCCTTTGCAGGAGATTAACATTTAATTCTTTCCATTACAGCTCCAGAAGAGGCTTTTACTAGGGTCTGGAGATCAACAGAGAAATTCCTGATCCCTAAATTTCATAGCCAAATCAACATCCTTATTTCTAAAAGCAGCTGCCTCATTCTAACCAGATAATCAACCACAGGTCCTATTATTCCAACTCCTAAATCTCTCTCACATTAAAAAAAATTTTTCTCTGTCTCTATTGCCACAAAAATCACTTCGGAAAAACATTTCCTACATGTAATGGTATGTAATGCTTTCAACCAATCTCCTATTCACCATTCTTAACTTATCCCAATCCATGCTCAAAAGGACAAATCTATCTATAGTCTCTTCTGATTAAAAAAAAAAAAAAATCGGCCCTTCCTGGTGGTGCTGCGGGTTAAAGCATAGCACTAAGAAGCTTAAGCCACTTGCGCATGAGTTCGATCATCGCCTGCTCCGGAGGCGATTCACATGGCGAGGCAGACCTCTCCTGACCGGCCCGCTGCTCCCCTCAGCAGTGTACTTTGTTGATCTGCCTGTTCTGCTTCCCACTCTGTCTCTGGTGAATACTCTCACCCTCCGCATCTCTGGCCTGTAGCTCTATATGAATAAATAAATAAATCTTAAAAAAAAAAATCTTCAATGGCTCTCTATTGTCTTCAAGGTAAAAATTCAAACTCTTTAAACATACTTACTCTGTTTACCTCTTTAGATTCACCTCTCTGCATGAAATAATTTGCTTATTTCCTAGTGTCATGGCAGGCAGGGTCAGGCACAAAGCTACTGCTGCTATGGCTACTACTATTAATGATGATAAAATAGTGGTAGTTAGTTACCATTTAATAAAGTATATACCAAGTGGTATGCTAAGTTCTATAATTTATATATTCTTCATAAACATCCTGTGAGATGACAATTCTGTTATTTATTCTGTTTTTATGAGGAAACAATGGAAGAATTAGTTCCTAGAATTTACCTGTCCTAGAAGCCAGTAGAAAGAAATTCTGCTGTGAAATGACAGACCTAATACTAACTAATCTACTGAGTGTATCTTGCAAGTTACATACTATGCTATGCACTTTGCATGTGTTACCTCTAACCCTCACAGTGACCATATCACTTTATATTTAAAGAAACGAAGACTTGTAATTGTCTTTCAATTGCTGATTTTGGAGAATGAAAAGATTCCTTATTCAAGTCGCTTGAATTTGCTCAATATAAGTCTAGCCTTCATGACTTCTCATCGAGTATCCTCTACCTTCCATCAACACTAGAAGTCAAAGTCTTCAGAATTTCTGTCCTACTTAATGTTTAATATTGTATTGGTATCAATAACTTATCAGTAAGATTATTACTGATAAAATGACACTACTGCTGCTTTACAATTCATTTAAAGCATCACAGTTCACAAAATAATTTCATGTACATTTTCTTATACAAGTTTTTTTTTTTTAATTTATTGACTTGATAGCATTGGGGCATAGGCCAGAGATAGGGGGAGGGTGAGAGGATCCACCAGAGACAGAGTGGGTAGCAGATGAGGCAGATCCACTAAATACACTGCTGAGGGGAGCAGTAGGCAAGACAGGAGAGGTCTGCTGTGCCACGTGGGTCAGCTCTGTGGCCAGGGACTGAACTCAGGCCACAAGCATGGCAGTGTGATAGTGCGGACACTTAATCCCTACGTCACCAGGGAGGCCTGTCTTATACAAGTTTTTGAGAATTGTAACACATGGAGAAAGTTTAAGAAATTTACTCAAGATTAAGCAGATAGTAAGTGGCAGAGCTGGGCCTAAGTCCTATGTCTTCTGATCCACAATGTAGCTTTTAGCATCAGTAGAAAGAAAGCCATAGAATACATACGAAGTTTTAATTGTCATATAAAATAACTTGAGGTAAGGTACAAAAGGACGAGGGGTACAGCAGACTTCAGGAAGATTGTCAGTAACATACAGACTGTAAAGGGAATTCAGTTTTGGTACTTTGAGGCTGTGATTAGCTTCACTGGAAATGTGGAGTGAAACTTGGACTACTCCCTGCCCTCTTTCACATTTTAAAAGCACACATTTGTATAGTAAAGCCTGGAACATAAACCCTTTGCTTATTCCAATGTCCTTTTCCAGTAGCAAGAAGCTTTCACTATTATTTGAAGAGTGCAGCAATATCTAGCAATCTTTCCTAAGTGACTATGTCAGAGACCTGCTTACAATTAGGAGAGGCAGACAATGCAAAGCCAGACAATTTATTCATGTCTTCATAAAAGTACTCAGAAAACCAAAAACAAAACATATAAGAATGGCAATAATAGGAAGAAGGATGAAACAACAAAGATATGCTCATATTTGTGAAATGTTAGATGGTATTCTAGATCCTTTGCATGTCAAATCTACCTCACCCTCAAGGAACCCTTGGGAAAGGGTAACTTCATGCTCATCATACAGTTGAGAAACTGTCAAACTAAGAAGTACAGATAAATACAGACAGCAGGTTCCCACAAGAATAAAACTGTGAAAGATAAATATACAAAGGAGTGCAAGCTTCTGTAGGATAATACATAGTTATATGCAAAGCTGAATGTACAGTGCTATCTCTACTAAAGCAAAAAACAATTTTAGAAAGAGTTTCCACTAAATAAACCAAGCACATTCTAGCCTATAGTAATAGAGGTACAGGGATAATCCCATAGTGAAAGAATGAAAATTATACTTCTGCCATATTCTGATTCAGCGAACATATCAACATTGACCCCTCAGGTCTGACCACAAATATTACACATCTGTAGCCAGAATCTCAACTCTGACCTCTGCGAATAATTCACAGTCCAGATACTAAAATTAAAATCTTTAGAAATTGTAAAATAGTAAAGTCACACGGCGCTACTGAGACAGACCAGCTTCATTCCAAACAGACTTGTTTCCTGAAAATATTTCTCTCTTGACATCAGAGATGTTCAAGCAGCAATGTCCCTCAGCTTGTTTTTTATTTTTACTTTTCCTTCTGCTTTATTTAGCCTACATTTCATCTTTGCCTTCTTTAGCCATCTGATAAATATGTTTATCCATCTGACAACCTTGGTTCTACTTAGCTATCTAAAAAAAAAAAAATTGTAGAAAGCATGATAGACCATGACTATGTATATATTAATAGGCATTAACTTATTTATGAATACTTCAAAGCATTCTTCAATGATAATCATAAATCCATACTCATGTAAAGGGTATATGTTTGTATGCTTGTAAATGTCAAAATCCATTCTATTCACTCTCACAATAAACAACTAGGTATTTGATTGGAAAATATTATATCAGTGAACAATCCATCCTTTATCAAAATTATTCTCACTATTTTTCTTTTTAGTCATATAATCAGATCTCACAATTAAAATCAAAGTGATTACTTAAAATCTTTTTTACTAAAAAAAGATGACATTTTTTTCCATCTCACTGGGATATAGGAGGTGATTTTTATAGGAGATGTACTTATATTTTAGCTAATATTCTATGATTAAAAATAAAAAACATTTTGCAAAAAAAAAAGATTTTTTTTTTTAATATACACCAAGGTAAACAATTTGGCTCTCACTTGTAAAGAGTATAAACAATGGTGCTTTAGGGTTGACTGACTTCACTCTTAAGGGACAGGTTTAATTTATTGGGCACTAAAACTAGATACTAGGAATAAGCCAGATAATACCAGAATGGTCTTCTTAAACAAAGGACAGTCACTTGTCTATAGATCTCTCCCATCCTTCTTAAGTAATGCCACCTAAATGTAAGTCCAATAAAATCAACAGAGTATGATGCTAGTCGTCTACTTGTCCAAGAGCAAGTACAAGAAACAGACCTTTTTCAATGGGCACTCTGTGGGAGTCAAAAACTATTTCAATACATCAAAAGAATGGTTTAGGATTGCTGGAGCCCATCCACAGTATGCAGCAGTGCTTTCAAGAGTTGCTTGCCAAGAGAGGGCAAAAAACAGAAAACCATTTAAATCCAACACAGCATAGGTGAGGCTAGATTATAGGAAATGGGAAAGTCATGGCTTCATTAGTTTCACAAAAGGCTGCTGAAGCTCCATTTTCTATCAAGGTAATTTGACTTTTTTTCTTTTGCCATATGCACTCGGTGGGTTTCACTAATGGGGAACACAAAAACTATTCCTGGCTTTGCAACAATGGGAATTTTATATTAGGGCAGTAGCAAAGAAAAGGAAAAGGTCAAATGGTAAATTCCTCTAATTGCAACATGTTTTCACCAGCTGAACCTTTCCCTTGCGATTAGTGGGGCTCAGACAGCTGAGAGTTGGAAATGGGGAGGGGGCAGAAAGAGGAGGAAAGTTTTCCTGGGTGTATCAAAAAGAATATTGTGTGAAATATTTGCAAGAGTTAACTGCTCTTCTGCTGGGACCTCCTTTTTTCATTAGTGGGAGGTGTTCCAGTGTTCCAGTCCTCTGGGAAGAATAGCCTCCTTGTTCTCACTTTGTTCTGCATAGCTATGTAGACATCTATTTCACTCAATGCTATTTACTTTTCTTTATTTTTAACCCATCTAGGAAAAAGGTGTGCTTCTGGTAAAGTAAGGAAATGAAAAGGTCAGAGCACGTCCCTCCTTGAGAAACAAGCAAGGGACTGTATGGAACAAAAATCATCATTCCTTTACTGAACAAAGGATGAGTTGATGGTATAGATTTGTTCTATATCATTTGTTCTTTGACAGTAAAGGCAGTCTTTATTGAATATGCTTACTCCTGATGAGTTTGTGTGCACTGTCTGTGAAAAGACAACAGCAGCTGCCAGTGCTTTATTTGAGGTGGTTAGTCCTGTCATCTGTTATCTATGCCTTTAGCAAAATTTCTTTTCCCTAAGCTTTAAAAGGCTGGGTAATCTTAAAGGGGATGGAAGAAATATGATGCAAATGCTCCTATAGCTTATACATATTTCTTCAGACAGCCAATAGGAGTGCCCAAGAGGCTTCTGGAGTCATTTGACATCACTTCTAAGATTGGACAGGTATAAGATTCAAAGTTCTAAGAGTAGGATAACTGCAACCTGTAAGAGGTTGTATTCAGAAGAAAATCTTAAATGGTATTTGGGATGAATACATATAGTGATGTGCAGAAAATATTTCTCAAGTTGACGATACTTGACTGTTTTATATTAAAACAAACAAACAAACAAAAGATGATACAAAAAAATGTAGGTCAAGACACCAATGTGAAATAAGCCTGTATATGTTAGAGTTTCAGGGGTAGGCAGAAATTTCTTCCAGTTTTTGCTTATGAACTTTTCTATTTTTCTTCATTTCTTGTAAAAGGATAATGTGATATAGATTTCTATATTCAAGAATATTGTGTTATTGCGTATTACTATTTTATTTAATCTTTTTCCAGCTTTTTGAGGGGAGTTCATTTTACTCCCCTCAAAATGCGTTTTAGTATACCCATTATGCAAGTTTGTTACTTTTTATTGGTAGTGGTCCATTATATGAAGTATCACCATATGCTCATTCCCTCATCAGTGAAGGACTTGCAGATTTCTAGCTTGAGTTCTTTATGACAAAAGTAAGTGAAGCATCCCCCTCCAGGTCTTCATGAGAACACAGGTTTTTATTTCTTTCAAGTAATTACCTAGAACTAGGATGGATAGATGATATGGTCAATGACAGTAACATTTACTATGCCTAACAGTTTTCCAAAGTCCCTGAATCATCTTACATTTCTACCAGCTATGTATGAAAGTTCTAGTTGCTCCACATCCTCACTAGCACTGGATATCATTAATTTAGTTTTTATTTCCTTTAATCTTATCTTCCAAGTATTCTTTAAAACAAACCCTGTTTCCTTCCTCAACTTGTATCACATAATCTTTGTTCCTGTTCAATTATTTCTGTCACCAGGAATACTTTCTCCATATTCCTAGTTTTCCTCCCTACTTCCAGTCCTTAACATTCAGTTCAAATAAAAAGCCTTCTGATCCTACTCAAGGTGATTTTGACCTTCTCAGCTCTGAATGTCCATATAAGTGGTTATCTTAAATTCATAGCCCACTCCTTTATTAAGTACTGTTTTATATTATTCTCTAGTAGTTTCCTACTATTTCTGATTTTCTCTTGTAATAGGGCTCTTGTATATTATCCATTTGGCCTACCCAGTATGTTTAACAAGCAACCAATTATATTTATGACTTAACCTAAAGCTGTGGAACTAATGCAGTGAAAGAGCAGATTTCTCATTATGATTTCCCAATAACAAATCTGCCTTCACTATCACTGACTATTTATGGATATCTACAAGCGTCTTTGGCACTAAATGACAAGAAATTAATACTACGTGCAGATTTATAGAACATCTATTCCTTTTCAATGGCTTTTATCTTTCAAATGAATTTAAGAGTTAATCCATGCACTGTTTGGAAACAGAAGTGTTCATAAATGTTTTCCATAACCACCAAGTGAATAATACCCCTACAATTGATTGAAATACAAATATAGTTAGGTAGGCAGAATGTAATTTTTGAATCTGAAGTATGGCCAGGAAACTTGGGAGAATACTCCTAATTCCTGCCAAAGATTCCATGGATAACCACAACTGTTCAGAATCTCCATTTCCATGCACCATCTTACACGGAGTTCCTCTCTTAGCCCTGTGCCTCTAGCAAAATAAGGCCAAGTTAAGCAGTGAGATTCACAAAGGGGAACATTACATCTAGAACAATGCTTAATTTGTTTTATTTTCTTTCTTTTTTTTTTTTTTTTGACAAATAAGTCTGCAGATGTTTATCCTGCATGTACCACAGTGTTTCCAGAAGGAAATGCATCCTGTTTGGTCAACTCCAGAAGAATGACCTTTAGTTAGATAGCCAGGTACTCATTCTTCTTAACATTAACCAATACTATAGAAGGAATTCAGCTTTTCTTTGGGAAATGTAGAGAATGGTTGGTATGCACATATGTAGATCTCACACAGAATGAGGAGTCAATAATTAACTTTGTCTCTTACCTCATTTTTCATAAGACCATTTTTTGAGGCCTGTGGATTTTATTAGACACTTTCATATTAACTACGCCAGAAAAGCATTATCTTAGTAAGGTCTTACCACCAATCACTAAGTGGAGGTAATGATATATTTGAATTTCCCTATTTGGCACATTATAACCCTCAATTCCATGTTTCTTCCCTTGTCGCCCCCCCCCATGCAATAGAAACAATTAAAATACATATATCTATCTATCTCTATATTTTTTAACCAAGGGATGATAAATTGATAATGATTTATCTCTAAAATTCACATATTTACACTGAAACATTACTTGTAAAAATGGGCACTATATATCACTAATGCTGAGTGATATGAGTGCTTACTATAATAGTCTTTCACATTATGCTTATTTTGAATCAAATTGATAACTAGCTCTATTGATTTCCCTGACCCAAAAATAACCTTACTACCTGACAAACAGCAATAAAATATAACATGGCCATATCACTGTTATGCAGTCCTTACTTGTTGAGTTCTAAGATGCTCAAATGCTCAGGTGTCCTTAATATTAAATGCTTTGGTACTGATAGTTAAGACATCTCAAAACATACAGCCTCAGATTTCCTTACTTCTGACCAGTCCAAAGCCACCCACTGAGGTGGGCATGTCTGGTTGTTGCAGGGCTCTTTTTCAATAGGCCGGTGTGTTAAACAACCACTGTAGTCCAGTGTCTCCTCCTCAGAAGGCCCGACCTTCCTGATGCAGAGCACTGCCCTGGAGCGCATCCCACCATCACAAGTCTTGCTGCACTCCAGCCAGTCCCCAATGAACCACCTGCAGCAACAGGGGAAGAAACACAGACAAGCATTTTCTCAGCACAGCCAGATGTTCTTAGGTGAGTGAAGGCACCTTCATCAACAGACTCCAACCTCTTCCTAAATAAGCTGACATTTTAGTGTGGGTTGATATGGTCAAATGGAGGAGAGGCTAAGGAAATGGTCACTCATGGTTGGTCACTGTTCCAAGCATAATGCATGTGCCTTGAAGAAGGGAGAACCCCAGTTCAAACAAGTAGTAACACACTATGTGCTTTTATACCTTGCTAAAGTCCTTCCTTCCTCCCTCCCTCCCCACATTCCTTCCTTCCAGCTTTCCTTCCTCCACCATCCCCTACCTCTCTAGTTCTTTCTTTTCTTCCAAATTTCTAATATGAGGGTAACAATATGTCAGGAGGATGTCACAAGGATTAAGTAAGGCAAAATATATACGAAGCTCCGTCACATGGTGGTAAATGTCTAACACCTGGCTCTTCAAAATTTGCCAATTTTTTGTGGTGTAAATATCTCACTGGGACCAACTTAAAGCTACTAACTTGACACAAATAAGATAAGAGATGTTAATAACAGAGTCTGAGAAGCCAGTACTAGCTAGCTTCAGTACACTCACTAAAGGTTTCTATCAGTGTTTGGCAAACAAAAACCAAGAAACAGCAGCTATTTTTATTATTATATTGAGGCATGTTCTTCCATCATCAAGGATTTTATGCTAAAACCACCCTTACAGGAAGGGGTTTGTTTCTAATTCCCAGAAGTGAATGTCAGGTTCCTTTACTGAGCTTACAAGAGCAGAGAAGGTCCAAGTATCCGTTTAGAAGACATGGGAGTTTTAAAAACCTGTTGCTAGGAGTCGATGGGAATGATGTCAGCTTTCTAGTGGTACCTGGGTTGAGTCTCAGCACTATCACCACTGGGGTCTCAGTTTGACCCCCAGCAAGGGAGCTAACCCACACTGGTGCAGCAGACCTCTCCTGTCGAGCTTCAGCAGTGTATTTCAGCAGATCCACCTGTTCTGCTCTCCACCCTGTCTCTGGTAGATTCTCTCACCTACCCCCATCCCACACCTCTGGCCTACACCCCAGTTCTTCTGTTTATAATAAATACACTAGATCTTTGAAAAATCTAAAACCTGCAGCTAGAGAAGAATCCTAGCCAACTCTGGAAAACATGGCAGTCCCTTGCTTTCACCCTTTTACTTATAGCACAATATAACATGGCCACATTCACTGTCAATGTGAGAACTCAAGTGTCTTAAAATGAATATGTATGTCTCAGATATGTAGGTATATCATTTCCCCCAAAAGTCATCAACAAATTGTTATACACACACACACGTGTGTGTGTGTAGGTATTTTGTATAAATACTTCTGATGGATTTTCTTGAGCACATTAATTAGTCCGAGGGGTTTTATATCAGGTTCTGAATTACACCATTGAGAATGTTTCAGAATCTTTTTATCTTCCCTAGAGCAAAGGAACCCTTTCTTTTCTGGTTGCAAAAGCACATAAGGATGGTGGTCTTTTCCCCTGTCAAGTGGAGTTGCTTTTAAAAGGAGGAGCTCTGGAGTGCTAATGGTGTTTGCGTCCTTGATTGTAACCATTTCACAATCCAGATCTTTTACACTCTTCTCAGCTTTGTTATATAAATCCTCTTACGCATAGGAGCTAAATAAAGTTGAAGAGATCTGTCATTTTCACCCAGAACCCTGACTGATATATTACTGCATTTAATTTAATAAATGTAAACTGACTACTTTAGAGTTCAGGAGTTGTGTTTCATTTTTTTTTTTAATTATTAAAAAGTTTATTTTTACATCATTTTGCACATTTTTTTTCCATCTCAATTGTAATCCCCACGGGTTTCCCATCACCAAATCACCCCTGTGCCACCACCATAGTCCCGTGCATTTCCCTCCCTCCCACCCCCCCCCCGTGTTTCATTTTTATAGAAGAAAAAAGTAAAACTAGTATAAGGAAAATGATTCCCCCAAATCATAAAAGGAGCAGTGCTTGACTTAGGACTAGATTTTCATAAATGTTTATTTCCATGAGTTTGATCTTTAGTATTGCTAAATAGTAGAACCTAGGCCTCAAGTATGAGGTCAATCCATGATTATAAATCACACAATTACCCTAGATGTATGTATCCATGCGCTTTGTTTGGGGAAAAGAGTATGAAAGCTTCAGAAGAAAATTCTCACCATTTTCCTAGTTTTGCTCATTGTGCCAGTTTTGTCTTTAAGAGATTGAACCTTAATGAAATCACTTTGAACCTTAATAATCACATAGTAGGAATATTGTAAATTTGAACCTGATTTAGCCAAATAAGCCATAATGGTCTTTTCCACATTACTACTTGTGTTATCTGAGGCAAACAAGCAAATTAAAGCAAACTGGTAAATTCAGAAATATTGCAATTTACCAGTTTTTCAAACTTAAAATATAACTGGTCAAACTAAAATCTTTCGGCCTGAAATTTATTTAAAGAATGATAATTTAATCCTGAATTTAAAAATCTGGCATTAACATTTTTTTTTCTAAGTCATTTTCCAAAAGAGATTTAAAGTAATTTTCATATTCTTTCCCTTTTTGTTTTCCACAGATGAACATGATCCCAAGTTGTTAGTACCATTTTTGGTAAAGAGGAAAATGTGTACTGAGAATAATAACTTGCATGCCAGCCATAGTGAAACTCTGATTCAATTTACAGCAATGATTTCATCACCAAGATTAGGGGATAAAACAGAAATGTGTATAACTCAGCCACAAAAGTTCAATCATACCATCTCCAGCCATGATCTCATTAGGCCTCATAATGTAAGAAGGATGAAGGCCTTCAAATTAAACACAGGTGTTCAGAGGAACAGCAGTGATTCAGGAGGTGTTGCTGTTCTTTGCTGCACAAGGTCAAGGTCACTCCATCTTTTTATCCTTTCTCCTCACTTTTATTGCCAACCATCATTTAGCCTAGATGTATCACTCCAGCATTTAACTTGGAATGTATGAAAGTAAAAGTATTAACCATCCTCTAATTTCCATTGTGACTTTAATAGTGATTTCAGTCTTTACATTCAGTTCCTGTTACGTATTTATTGCTTTATTACCGAATCATCCCTTTCCATGTTTCTCCAAAGAATTAAATCATACCCTACTTAAGTGTTGTAATTTTACCACTTGTTTCAGTTTCTCCACTATCTTGTCTAGTTTAAGATGTTCTATTTTCTTCACTTTAATTCATGTATCTGACTCTATCATTACACTTTCCCTAGTTCTCTCTATTCCTCTTCTACATTTTGTGGAAAAATATGAACACTAAATTCCTCTCTGAGAATATCAATTGCTGAATCATCATAGCTACAATGATACAAAGTCTGTTTCTTTTTGAACTTTTCCTACCACCCAGTGATCAAATTGTCTGCATCCTCACAAATGCTTCATGTCCACTAGATGCTACCAATTTGTGGAATTAAATTTGAGTGCCTGAGATAAAAGTGGCTTGCTATAGCCTGGTTAATCGATCTAAAATATTGGTACATTAGTAGAACAATAATCCTTTTATTGCAAGGATAGAGTAAAAGAGACAATAAAAAAAATTTCTCCAACTAGACTAATCAGAGTATCTTTGAAGAAAGAAACCATCATAAACCAAAATATCATTTCAGCTTTATAACATAAAGCAAAATTATAATGTAAATGAAAATAAATGGATATTAGATATTTGGATTGAGAGAAACAGAGACTTCTTAGTTTCTTCCCCACAGTTAGTGGTCTAATTACCCTTTTTTTTAAGCACAAATATTTAAAAATCTTTAGACTGACAATATCTTTAATCAAAAAAAAAGATTAAAAAATATAATTTCTACATACTAAGATACAAACACTTCAAACAATATTGGTAACAAAATTTGCTCATTCCTCAGCTAACTGGAGAGTGAAACTAATATTAAGTGGAAGCTTCTATGTCTTAAACTTTATTTCATACTTGGGACTTTTTCTAAATTAAAAAAAAACACACACATAATAGATACCTCTGAGAGTGTGTCAATTTATAGTGTGTCAATGAAATAAAATTATAAGTATTTTAATGTCACCAGGCCGTTGAACTATAACCTACAAAGTTAGTGATTTCTGGTATTAAAGGGATAACCCCAGCAGAGATTAGCATACTTCATCTGTAAAATGATGGGATTTCAGCTACATGATTTCTACAATTCTTCCTAGGTCTTAAATTTTGGAATTTTATAGAGAACTCTCATGAGTCTCTTTCTCAGTTTAAAATAACAGAATATTAGTTGTCCATGGTGAGGTGCAATGACTCAAAATATTAGTTAAACATTATATCACAAAGGACAGTGTCAAATAAAACTTAAATCTTGGGGAGGAAAAAATACACAAACAACTCCCCAGTCAAAGCATCTGTTAGTACATATGCTTATAGCTTTTTAATAACTCTTTTATTGTTTAACATATTTAGTCTTGCAGATATTTTTATGTGTATTTACCCAATTAATTTGTCCTTAGAAAAATAATCAATTCCCCTAAAGCTGAGTATCTTCTATATTGCAATTGCTTAAAAATGTTTTTGTAATTCTTGGTCACAGCACTAGTACATTGTATATATTCTCTCATTTTCCCCTTTCTGATTTTCACAATTGAAAAAGCCATAATATAGAGGAATAATATTCCGTTTCCAAGGATTCTTCACATGTGGCTATATATAGAAATGTTTTTGCTATCAAAGGGCAGCATGGTCAAAACAGAACTCTTCCAACTTCCAACTTACTATTACTTCCTTTTTTTTTTTTTTTGGTGGAGCACCAGCTTCCTACCACTCATACTCTTTAATATCAATCCTTCCTGTCCCTTTTCCCAAGTCTTTAAGCCTATGTCACCCCTTTCACTCAAAAGCTCTGGAATCCTTGTTTCTCTCCTGTAATTAGTGACCTTGCCATCAAGACTACATATTCTTCTCACAAAAGAGTTCCTGCTACGAGTACATTAATTTTCCAGCAGTGTTTCCTCAGGCTCTTCAATAATCATCCAAATGAGCTCTATTATTATTTCTCTAGCACTGTTTCTTTTGCCCATTCTTTTAGTAACCCATCATCTTTTCTTAATATAACACATAGATAAAACTTACTACCCTCTATTTTTTTCATATTCTATTTATAAAGTCTCTAATATGACTAGAAGACATTTAAAATATTTAATTATTTGGAAGCATCTTTTCTGATGAAAAAATCATCACTATTTGGTGTTATTAATTAATGATGTGGGGAAAATAATAACATTTGATAAAAAATACTGTATAGATTTCTTTCTCAAAGGAGGCAAATCTATTTTTGATATCTTTTTAAAACTTTGAAAGTATGGTCTTAGAGTGAGGCAGATCTTCCTAAACATTAAACTAATGAAACAAAAATGTGCAATAGACTTCCTATATAACATTTAAAACTTTTATATGTAAAAAATAGATCATAACACCATAAATAATATGGCAAACATATAACAAAGAAATTTTTGGAACATGTGTAAAAATTAATATTCTCACTACATTATGAGCTTCTATAAGTCAGTAACTAAAAGATTAAACCCTTTAATAGAGAAACAGAACAGGCCATGAAGAAGAAAAACAACAAAACAGTAAAATAAATGGCCATTTTAACTGTTCAGCTTCAACATCAGTTTAAGAAATACAAAATAAGACAGCAATTAGATATCAGGGCTTTTTGCCCTCTATAAAATAGTCAGAGATTATCTTTAAAATAATAATGCCCAGTTCTGCACAGCTCCAAGAAATGGCATCTTTATATGCTGCCAGTTGGGGTACATAGTTATACATTCTTCCTCGAGAGCATTTTGACAGTGTGTCTCAAAAGCTAGTATATATTTCCATTAGAATTAGAAATTTAGCATAAAGGCATAGTTGTAGTGAAAAATGTATCAGTAGCAAAATGATTAATGTTGTGATATCACATGGCATCAAATTCTAGGACACAGCCAAAATTGTTCAACAGTGGAAGACCAATTTTAGTAAATAACATATCAACTAAATAATCTAGAAAATATTTAACATTAAAAATATGCAGGAATCTGACTACAAAGTATCATAAACTGTATGATATCATTTGCTTAATATATATATATATAAGCTTATATAGAGAAAACAAAATACACATATCAAAATATTAATAATGGTATTACATGTGTTTCTGTTTTTTCATTTTCTGTGTTTAAAATATTTGATGCTTTAGTATGTATTACAAAAAGCAAACACAATTTTCATATATCAGCTGAGAAAAACATGTCTCCACTTCTGACTATTGCATTCAAAGTCCTAGTGAATTCAGTTGTCTTTATATTATTTTTATGTTTATAATAACAAAGTCTACTCGTGATCTTATATACAACAATTATTTTGGAGAATTAGATTTCCCCTCACATAGTATGCATTCAAAGAAGTTTAAAAGGAACTAAGAGAAAATGGAGTGAGTAATATTTTAAATACATATATCTATATATCTTTAGTGCTTTCAAAATAAGAAAGCTCTCAGCCTATATCTTCTTTCTCACATTCTTACTATCTTTTTCAAGTCCCATCCTCTTACTTCTAAACTTAAAAAAAAAGTGAACAAATAATTTTCTACTTTAGGAATACAAAAGGAAAGGCAACATAAAACTTAATTTTAATCATCTATATTAATTCAAGTTTGTCACTATCCTTAAACTGTTAAATTTGTTATCCAATATTATACCTAGCCCCTACTATATGGCAGGAAACAACCAAACATTGAAACCTCAAAGGACATGTGAATAGCACTGAAGCTTAATCAAACAAACACAAAAAAAGCTGAGGTCAAAATAAAAGAGGTGTGACCAGACCCACTCAGATGCCTTAAATGGTTGATCAAAAGCCAAACACAATACTTAAAATTCTGAGTGTCAGGGAATTAACCTGATGGGTTGAGATTCCTAATTACATAAAAATATGTTAAGGCTACTGGAAATATGGAAGGAACAAGATTAATTCATGAGCTTTAATCATTTTGTTTTGCATAGCTTCTTTTTTATATAGTTTGAGACAAATTCATAAAAATAGTTGGCAGAAGAAACAAGAAAAATTAAATATCTTCTCTTTATAATAAAATTATAGATTATATATCTATACTTTGCCACATCTGGATTTCACCAATTTACAAAATGATCACATTACAATAAGTAAAAATACAGTATTTTAAGTCAGAAAAAAACTTGTATCACTCTAGAGTCATTGTGATTTGTATTCATAAGCCACTGCCCTAAATCTTTTCAAGAGATTAGTGAAGAACATCTCCCTTTAAGATTCAAATATTCAGGCAGACACTAACTTTGGGTAATGAAAGCTCATAAGATATACATTTGTAAATAAAACTTAAGAAATGCTTCTTGCGTTAACCATATTTGGAACCTAAATTCTTTATTCATTTAAAGTTCTAGGTTTTTGTAACACCACTGTCGATGTTTTTACAGACAAGAATTACTTCATTATAGAGCTTCTTTTCTAGTCTAGAGAGCCTGGGATATATAAATTCATTTTCTTTATTTCTTTTACATATCAGCTTGATGGTTGGGTAATTAGCAATCCAAGGGGATGATGGTTACTGTGATTTCTCAAACAAGAATGAATAGCCACTCACATAAATTCTGTCTCCCAGTTGTCAATCAGGCAAATTCCCTACAAATATCAGTATTTAATGATCAACTCAGCATCTCTGTTTTTTTTTTCCACATAATCACTGCCTTTTGTTCAGTCAAGAAACCTTTCTTTTCTTATTATAGCATGTACCTCATTTAAAGCAGTTCTCACATTTTTAAATTTTAATTTTTTCAACTCACCATTAAAATGAATGGACTATTGGCCCTCCCTGGTGGCGCAGCAGGTTAAAGCACAGTACTGAGAATCTGAAGCCACTTCCGCATGAGTTCGATTCCCGCCTGCCGCCTGCCCCGGAGGAGACCACATGGCGAGCCAGACCTCTCCTGGCCCGCCCGCTGCTCCCCTCAGCAGTGTACTTCGTAGATCTGCCTGTTCTGCTCCCCACTCTGTCTCTGGTGAAGCCTCTCACCGCCCCTGAGCCTCTGGCCTGTACCCCACTTCTGTATGCACAAATAAATAAATAAATCTTTAAAAAAAAAATTTAAAAAAAAAAATGAATGGACTATCTCCATGTACCCCCATTTACAATGAGTGTAATTCCTGCATTATTAAAGCTCCTGCTTTAAAGGAGTTAATCAACAGAGAATGAGTATACCTCCATGCCTGTGTCCACAACTCAAAAGATAAACTGCTTTAGGATGAAAGTTTAAAACTGTGTCAGCAGATTAAAGCATCACAATTACATTGTAGAATATTTCTAAAGCATTTTAAAAGGTCTTAGATCTTTAGGTACATATCTGAAAAGAAAGGACTCCACACCAATCTACCTTATTTCATTGAATGTAAGATTATTCTGTGTACCATTAAAAAGAAGATGAGTTTTATTGTAAGATAAACTGCAAGGTGAACCCCAATTTCTGAGACATTAAAATATGAAAAGAGGGCATAGAGGTTAGTCTCAGCACCATCAAGATATCACCACCTACTGAAGCACGAGTTCAATCCCTATCAGGGAACTGATCCACAATGGCACAGCAGACCTCTCCTGTCTCACCAGCTGCTCCCCTTAGCGGTGTATTTCAATCTGCCTGTTCTGTTTCCCACTCTGTCTCTGGTGGTGGTCTGTCTCTCACCCCCGGCACCTCTGGCTTGCACCCCAGTTCTTATATGCATAAATAAATACATTTACATACACACATATATGAAAAGAAATGCCTTAGAATTGATAAAATAGGATGACTATGCCAAGATCAACATATTGAAGTTCCTGCTTTAAAGGAAGCTAATTAAAATCTATGAATCTCTGCTCCATGAATGAAAATTAAAATTCTACCCTCTGTGATGTTTTAGCCCTTTTTATTAGCCCAAATTATTCATATCATATGACTATATGTTTCAAAATATGAAAATCTAATGTTATTCTTGTTGTAATTGAAAATCATTCTCCCGCCTTCCTCTTACTTACTCTGGTGGGCAGGGCTCAGTGTTGCAGGCTCTTTGATTTTCAGGTGGTTTACTGTCAGGGTCACAGTAATTGTTCTGGACAATGGAGTTGTCATCCAACCTTTTACAGACCAGCTCCTGTCTTTGGACACCTTGAGAAAAGGAGAACATCATTAATTGAAGAGTAGTTTACCTTCCGGTAAGCTAGGTATGCATAGCTTTCCTCTGTAGGGAATCAACCTCACTGGATCGCTGCTGTCTTTATCTGTTCCAGAAACACTTGACTGATTCTCTAAAAAGGAGAGAAGTCCTGGTCATTACACTGCAATTTTAGGCAAAATTATTGTTCTGATATTTAGAAACATAACTGTTTTCAAGTTTGAAGAGAAACTTGGTGATTTTAAACAATTATTATTCCCACTTGCATATTCTTCTTCATGCTTTCCTTAAAAAAAAAAAAAACAATTTCATTTCCTCCAAATATCACAAGATAAAATGTGTGAATGAATATACATTTTTCATGAGAAAACAATGATTGATATCTATTTAAAAATGAAACAATTAAGGACAAATTTACTTTTTGATATTTTATAGGACACACAGCATAAATGTAGTCTTTCTTTGAACAATCACATTCACACATTTCATTTTTTCCCCCTTCTGTTTATTGACTGATTTCACTAACAGCCCATGAAGACTAGAATTTAAAGATGCAGTGGGCTGCTTTTTGATTGCCACCCATTAGTGTGCTTTCTGTAATAGAGTTGGCTTCTTGCTGATTACCCCAGTATCATATTTATACATATTCCATCAAACATAATTTACGAAATGCTTATGTCATTCTTAAAATTGGTCTGTGTGACCTGTTTGCCACAACTAAAATTTTTCAAATCCTAAATAAATTTTTATTAGTTATTGGCAAATGTATTCACCACAACTTGCTCACATTTCACAAAATACAAGACACACACGAACACACTCTTATTTGTAAGCACCCCTGGGAGACAGACTTTATGCAGACTCATGTTCATTTTCTCTTTCGTGTCATGGGTCAAAAGAATGAAAGGTGGGTGTATTAAGACATAAGAAAAAAGTCAAAATATAACACAATGCTAAATATTCAAGGTCATATAGAGGTAGCAAATGACTTCTGAAATAGGAAAGAATGCATAAACTAAGCTACTCACCCACCTTATATCTATAACCAGGTAGGCTCAATTACCCAGACAGAGTTGTAAAAGCTGCATTTGAAGTATCCAGGAAACTATGGCTTCACACTTTGCTAGCTCCACAAAACTTTCAGTTTTACTTCCCCCACCCCCAGTTGCTTTAATAGTACTTTAAAGAGTTTAACCCTCAACTAAGGAAATCAATGTGAACCAGGATCACTCAGTGAAGGAAGCTGTGGTCTAAGGAGCTATGCACCAAATGCTTCTCTCAAGGTCTTGTAACAGCCATGGTAGTTCTGCTGGTGGGCGTGCCATAGTCAGCACACTTTTAACTAAGCCCCTTGAGAATAAAGATAGGGAAATCTAGTTTCTTCACAGGGGAAATTATTAAGTCCTGTAGTTTCTGTGATGGCGGTAAGCAGTTGAAGAATGTATATTTTATTACCTTGAATGACCCAGGGCTCTTTGATCACCTTCAACAACAAGTTTTTAGCTTTTCCTAAATGTAGGTGTCTCAAACAACTTACAGGCAAAAGGACTTAAAATGCGTTGTGGTGTTCATTCTCCACCTCACACCCTCCCCCAATGCCTAGAATAGGTCAAACATTTCAGTTTATGCAACAGTTTGGAATTTTTTAACTACTAAAGTTTAGATTTTTGAGGGAAGAATGATTCACATCAACATAGCTATGATCCATTCACAGATGTTCCACAACATTCATCAGATATCTCCCTCTTGTGTCAGTCCAGTGGGCAGATAACTAAGTCCATGTGATCCACCTAGACAAAAACCTCTGCCATTAGTTATATAATTCATCCAACTGCCACAGTCTCAGAATATCCAACCCAGGTCAGGGAATTGTTTTTGTAGGTTTGCATGATTTTTTTTTTTGTAAGTCATTCAAATATTATACTAGGAGGGGGAATAGTCAAACCATCTATTTATAAAAAGGATGCATGCAATTGCTCAACCTTTATAAATGTCAAATTATTTTTTAAATATGATACCTGCAACAAGAAAGTTGGCTTCAGTCTAGATTTTAGCTGTTTCTCAGAAAAGGATAAACATTTTCAATACTAAAGAATGGAACTGATGCTGCTTTGTTTCAGTGTCAGAAACATTAATTCAGTTTCTATAGGTTAAGATAAACTCTTCTTCCTTTAAGTGAACCCTAGAAATCAGGTTCGACTGTAACTAAAGTTAGTTTTTAAAAGTAGTCTTTAGTGTAGAAACATGGCCTCTGCAATTTGAATCCCAGACATTAGTTATTAGAGGTGAGATATATATCTTAAAATATATAACTTAAAAATTTTTAGCTACCTTAAAATTTTTTAGCTACATAACATTGCTAAGAATTTAGAAAATACACAAAACCACAAAGAAAACAAACTGTCTACAACCTCACAATTCATTCTGGACCTTAATTTTTAAGGCTGTTTTGCTCTGTGATGGGATCCAGCAACTAGTTTAAAATTACATAGTACACAGACTAAAATGTAAGCTGAATGTGGTTGGCAGGACATTCATTCATTCAGTCATGCATCCATTCATTCAAGAGAGAATAACTACTAATCACAAGGCACTGTGTTTTTCTCAGACATTGGGCTAAGTGCTAAGAATTACAAATTGACTTAATTTTGGTTATGCCCCCCGGATTCCTTAAAAACTAGGAATTAGGGCATTTGAGGGCTCATTATCAAACTCACAACTTCAAAACATTTTATTTTATGAAATATAAATTAAAGTCCTTGAATAAACAGCTGTAATTACTCTGCATTTTATGAAGATACATTTTCCTTGCATTCATCTTTTATTAATTTTCTTCTAAAATATTATACTAGACAGTGTGGTATTTCACACTCAGGAACTGACTATACCAGTAATCTATTCCAATCTTCCTGCAATGTTGAGCTATCTTCGTCCAACAGCATACAAGTCTTCCAACTTTTACCCCAGCTTGGCAGGTTTACAGATTTTTTTTTCCCTTTTAATTCAGTAGCAAAAGAATACTTTCTAAACCAATTCACCTAATTGGATGGATTTTTTTTTAAACACATACTTTTGGATTAAGGAAATGCAGTTTTTAGCTTTATAAAGTAAAAAATACAGTTCAACTGGAAATAGTCTAAACTAAGTCAACAGGAGAAAGGATTGAGTTTAGAATCTTTTCATATGATCAAGCCCTTGCACAGAGTACTTTTAAAATAATCTGTAAAACATTGCTAAGAAGTTGATTTAAACTCTGTTGGGAATAATTACATCCAGTTACACAAAGCCACTATGCTTTCAAATCGAAAGACTTATAGCTTATAACCAAAAACATAAAATATCCACACAACCACTCAGTATATGCCTAATCAAAAACAAAGTTCTAGTGGCTTAGTGTTCATATCCCCTAGAGATATGCAAATGTTCTACAGAATTTAACTGATCAAATTTAAATTTAAAACTACACTAATTATGTTTTATTCTTAAATACCTAAAGTTATTGGCATGTATCTTCAACACCTTTTTATTTTAATGCAATCCCTTTCATGCTTAAAATAACACATGCTTAAAATAATACATGGTTGTATTATAAAATTTAAGTACAAAGATGTTATTACCAATATACATTTACTTTAAACTCACTACAATGGGTATATCTTATTTAGAGATTTTTAAATTGCTTATCATTTATTTAATCCTTTGATATCAAGTAATCAAATATGATGTTTCTTAGCATAGAAATGAAAGTCTTATGTTTAGTCAATAAATTAAAACTTGTCAGATCTTATATTTAGCTGTCTGTTAATAGTTAAAAGTTACAGATGATCCAATGGGATCATTGGTTCTCTTGTCCAGTGGGAGGAAGGAGTACGCTACCTAATGTCTGATATTGTTACACATCAAGAAATGGCTTTTAGTATTTTGAGACAGAATTTATCACAAGGAGCAAGAAGGCCACCAAGCTGCAAGAAAATTCTGGGTGGACACTTTCATCTGTTCTTTTTACCTTAGGATGGTTCAGTGAAGAACGTAGGGTCTTTTACTTAGCAGCTAATGTCCTTGGACCAATTCTGAGTGAAATGTTGAGAACATAAAGCCCTTTCATTTCTTGCCTCATTTCCCACACTTCTATAATCCCCATAAAATCTACTCAATATTCTCAGGTTCCATCTCTCTTCTAGAAAATTAAAATTTAAAAAAAAAATCACTTGTAACAGTGTTGGAAATATATTATTTTTCTCAGGGCAATTCACTATTTTAAAAGTAAACAAAGGGAATTCAACACACAGAAAGTACTACTTGAAGAAATGATATATGTTAAATCTAGGTGTGGGGGAAGGTAAGGGCAGGAGAAGAACTTCCCTCTCTTCCCATATTTACTCATAAGACCCCCCACATTTCAGTCATAGAAACGTAAGTGAGCTGGTAAAGGACAAGAAGGTATAAATCTGTCCTTGGAATCTAAGGGTAACTAGCATCTAAGTAACATAACCTAATGGTATAGCACATCATATTTATCCAGAAAATGGTTTAGTGAAGCAATGGGGGCTGGGGGGGTGAGTTTTTTTTTTTAAAGATTTATTTATTCATACAGAACTGGGGTACAGCCAGAGATGCGGAGGGTGAGAGGATTCACCAGAGAGAGAGAGCGGGGAGCAGAACAGGCAGATCGAGGAAGTACACCGCTGAGGGGAGCAGCAGGCGGGTCAGGAGAGGTCTGCCTCGCCATGTGGATCTCCTCCCGGGCGGGCGGGAATCAAACTCATGCGGAAGTGGCTTAAGCTTCTTAGTGCCTTGCTTTAACCCGCTTCGCCACCAGGGTGGGCCCTGGGGGGTGAGTTTTTAAAAATCAAACTTAATAGTAAAAATACAGTTGGTGGCTTCGGCAACAATTTGGATGTTGTATATCCAAAGTAGCTAGAAACCAAGACAACACTATATAACCAAAGTATACAGAATAAATGACCAGCAATATCCATTTAATCTAAATCTC